ATAAGGTTTATTGATCCGATTTATTAAAATGGTTTTGAAAATATTTTGATTTCATCTCATCTGATGAACTGTCTATCACAAAGTTGAATATTTATTGAGCTGGCCTGCCATAAATAGTTCATGAGCCATGATGGCAAACCTTGAACCATCCCTAGCATTTCTTGGGCTATTCAACTGCTTTCGGGTATTTTTCGTGCCTCAACGCATAAAGCCAAAATGACGCATTACTTCTGCAGTTCATTGGAAGCGAAAATTTAAATCCAATTGCTAACGCTTTTTTTATATTTGTATAATTTGTATAAGCGCAGGAGGGGGTGGAGGGCAGATCGCATATGTGCGCTACGCTTTGCTTAATGTATTTATGGCAATTTCAGGGTCAGCACAAAAAAAATCTACAACAAAACGAAGAAAAATCTCTCGAGCCGCAACAAATGTTTGTTGCCGGTTGGTAGTGCAGCCAGCTCTGGTTGGTGGGTTAAAAGTGTCTCAGCTGCTCTATGTAAATCATGAAAAAAACCGGTTTTCAAATGATTAATTTCATAATTCAATAACAGAGCTAAACAAATATTTTCATGGATTTTGTATATGTCTCCAGTTAGATATTCTTGTTTTCAAAACGGCAAGAGAATCGCAGAGTTCGTGTCAAAGTGTGTTATTGTTTTTAGCGGATTTGGATTGAGCTTATCTGACTGACTTGATCTTATTGCTAATTGTTGTCGCAGATTCTTTATCATTGTAGAAATGGTGAAAATTTGTACATGGTTCTAACAAATTGCAGGCCATTAAGGAAGTTGGCCGAGACAAGGCAGTTGTGTTTAATAACGACATTCGTTGCGAAAAGGGGTGTTTTTTGTCTGCGTACAAGCGTAAAATAAAAGTTGGCAACAAGAATCGGTCAAGGTCGTCACAATCACTCAAGGAAATGGTGTCCACATGCGGGGAATGATAAAGCCAGAAATGGGATTGGCCTGGCCATAAAATTGTTGTCTCATCTGTGTGCCTGCGAAAAGTCGAGGCCAACAGAGAAAAATAACAATATAGAACACCCGGTGTGTCTGAGCTGGCAAAATCCTCAAGGGCAGTCCGCTGAATGAGAAACTCTATAAATATGGGCGCGATTGTTTAATAACCCAATGTAGCGGCTTACAAGAAAGAATTCTAAATCCTTGAAATTATCAACCAATCGTCGCAGAATTTCTTTATAATGTGAATAGCCTCTTGTAACCTCTACAGGCTAAGCAACTTTGTATTTATTTGGTTTCCCCATGTCATATCTTATCTGGTTTCTCACAGACTGTCATAACTTATTACCGAGCCAAGCAATAAAAGAGTCGAATTTCTACGATAACCCCCAGATCAACCCATATGATAATCAGTTTCAGAACATAGCTACCGCAATAACAAAATGTATGTAACTATTTCCCAAGATATCTTATCTTATGCCCGCCCATATCAGAGCTTTCCTCGTTTGACATCGACCAAACCCTTTGTTTACATTTTCCTTAACCGTCTTTATGGTAGTCGCTGTGAACCCATTATTCGTTCTTTTAGGTCAAAGATAATATTTTATGTGGTTTTTTATTAGTCAAGCTTTCGACCTGTTCGGCTGCCTTGAGTGAAATATTAAGCCAATTACCTTACACAACACCGATCTGAAATGCTCCAGTCCAAATCGGGAAGCTATTATGAACTTGCTTTGCCATTCGCTTCCTACCCCTCCCACTCTTTTGTTTGTCGAAATCGGAATCGGATTCTGGATCTGAATCAACGAATCATTAATATCCAATTACAGTTGGCCATAAAAGCTGTTCTAATTTGCACGCAGCGCGTCATTAATCATAAATCAAAACGCCAAAAGAGTTTGGCTACCATGGAACTATAGCTATTCCTTTTATTAACTGCCGCGAGGCCGTAAGCGGCTTTTCCGCGACAGACGCCAGTCAGAGATCAGAGATCGCTGATCGGTTCAATTCGGTTCGTTTCTTGGCCAATAGTCTTTCCAGCCTACGGAGAGATCCCAGATACACAGCGTGTGCGCTCAAGTAGTTTTCTTGGCGGGTGCGCAGGCGTTGAGCTTTTGTCATATACTCGTACATATATACAGATGCAGGTCGGAACCAACGAACAACCGAGTGTTTGATGTCGTACTTGTAGCCAAAGTCACTTTCAGCTTCAGTTCGGTTCTGTGTTTCTCATAATTTGTGCCCAAATTTAGATGCTTTTTGGGGGCCACGTGGGCGAGCTGTGAGCACATAACCGACAAAAATTTTCGTAATCGCTCAATGAGAGCTGGTTTGCCTTATTAGCATATACTTCTTGGATCTTAAGTTTGGTAGTAGCTGGAGCATTGAGCACTGCATAGGTCAGTTATCTTTCTCAATCAGCTGATTCATTCCAAGATCGCTGCCCACCCGCACTTGTGGATCTCGTTGTCTGGGCTTCTTGGGGTGGGTGTGGTGAGTGGATGTAACATGAGCATGAACATGAACACTGCCTGCCGAGCTACCGATGTGTTATTGACACAGTTTCTGGCCTCGATCGGAGTCTAGGGTGCTGGGTTCAGTTCATATCCCAATGCTTCACATTGTGTCATTCCTCGAACCATGAAGTACTCTCAAAGGCATTTGGCCGGAGGTAGAGGTGGGCTGCTGCCAGATAGCCAACAGCTGAGGTAGCCATCCGGCCGAGTTGATTAACTTGATTGGTAACGCAAAACCGATTCGCCAACACACGTCTCGCATTAGCTTGCCGGCCGCCTGGCTTAAGAATCCGGCGGCAAGGCAAGCGTGGAGCGGCTTACCTGCTAAGTAGCTGAGTTTCTGAGCAGCTAAGTAGCTTTCCATGTTGTCCATGCGGCTGGGCGTTGCTCCAAGGACGGCCATTCATCCGTCGTTTGGTTAGGTAATATTTCTCGAGATCAAACTAACCGGACACCTTTCTTTTTGCAGTTTCGATGACAGCATCTCATCCCGTCGACGCAAGGAGCGTTCGAAGCGTTCGCACCGCAAATCGCCTGCCGCAAGTCGGCGGCAGCACAAGTACCGCTACAGGGACGAGACCTCCCACTCGAGCTCCCGTCGCCGGCATCGTGATCGCGCCAAGGATGAACGCGACAGCGGGCGCAACAACCGCCAGTCGCAGGCTAAGGTAAAAACTTTTCATTTTATACACACCACACAGCAAACAAGTGAAAATTGTAGGCAGGGCAACGAAAAAAAAATTGAAAATCAAAAGATCACAAACTAAGAACGAAAACTAAAAACAAAACAAAATGGTAAAAGAACAAATTAAACGGACAGATACAACGTATGCGACTACATCGGACCGTTTTCAGTTAACCATTGCCTGCGTTCTATATCCCTGTGCATTGCCAAAAGCAGTGCCACTCGTTTGATAAGTGCTAGAATATCGCTTGTATCGACTCCCCTGCCATGCTGTTCTTCAAGCGGTATCTTGAAAAGTCGCAGCAGGTGGCCGATCACTTTGAGAGCTCCCAGATCCCGTGCTACATAAAGATGCGTGACCTGCCAGCGCCACCAGTCGTAGATCACTGTCGCGATCTGATTTTGGCCAGCTGTCCGCTGCGATTTATGCAATACACCGATGATTGGATAGTGGTTGAGTACTTTGCCGATCACGACAGCGATTATCTAGTAAGCATGTCCCCTCGCAGCCAGCATGTTGTGTTATCTATCGATCGTTTGTCGGCGCAACAATCACCCACCCCTCGCGACTTGGCTAACCCAATCATAGATGTATGTGAATGTTGTATCCCCGATTCTTGATTACAAGTCGAGTGGATCAGTGAAGTGATCATCGCACTATCACGATCGTTCGCCATTGCTCCCTCCTTTCTTATCTTTGCTGCGATGAGCTAAATTTGTCGTTAGATGTGTCACATTGCTTTGGTCTTGGTCTTGTGGTACAGTGATTACATGAAGAATGTATTGTAATCAGTGTTCTGGAATGATACTGCAACTGAATATGGAAATGATTGTAAAAGGGCTTCAAGAGGCGAAGCACTCGAAAACTCGGAGAGCAGCATGAGTTGTGTGTGGTCGTTGATAAGATTGTATTTAGCGCAAAGTAACTTGGTTGAGCAAGGCCTTTAAAGTGTGTTGAAATTAGGAATTTTAAATAGAGCATGCGGAAATATGAGTTGGTTGCAGTCATATAGAATATAGCAATCAATATCTCTTTGTGTGCTAGTAGTTACCTATCTCTAAACTTGCTATTTAATTAACTATGACCTTAAAGCAATAGAAATTAAATGATAACCTTAATGTATCAACCGCAACGACAGTTTTCAGGATTAACATAGCTAACAAACTTAATGATCCATATAAATGAAAGTAACTTAAGAACTATTTATTTATTTAAAATTAAAGAACGAAAAAAGGAAACGCTACTAAGTGACAACCATCAGTAGTAAAATGATACTTAAAAAGAACACTTAAACGAAACCTTGGCAATATAATTGTAGAAATTAAGCAATTTCTATGCGATCTGCGTGCCATCTCGCAGTATGAAAAACAGCTCTTAATTAATGAAGATCTTTATAGTTCCCATTCACTGTTGGTCGTTCTTTATAGTTTACCCTGTATCCATCACACCCCGCTGTCCTAGTTATTTTTGTTCAATTGATCATTTGACATTAACTCGTTGACGGCGGGCAGAGTTTTCTTCTCTGCTCTGCAATACGATGTGATGAGATGAGATACTACTGCTTCTGCTGCTGCTGTTGATGATGCGGACTGCTCCTCGCCAGCTTTGCCAGTTGCCCATGTCGCCGCCAATTAAGTGGGCTGAGTAACTCGCATAGAATTCCCTCCGCGTCATCGTTAAGCGCCGCCAAGATTCAGTACTTTCAGCAGTTGGAGCAGCAGCTCATCATCCGAAATGCGGAGAAGACGGCGAATGGCGGCTGTGGCCTGGAGTCGGATTTGGAGGAGCAGGAGGAGGGTTTCGGCAATGGAGAGAGCGTGGCCATAACCCCCTGCCTGATGCTGAAGCGGCAGCGCAACCACTTCGATCTGGTGGCCCTGTGTGATATGCCCGTGGACAAGTACGCCGGCGACAATTGGATCGTCGAGGATTACTTTGTAGACCACAATGACGACTACCTAGTGAGTCACAAAATTGTAGATTCAGAGATTGTCGGCGAGTATCTTTCGTTGCCTTGTGTTGCATGGTTGGCGTCCCTTTTTCGCCGCTCCCAAAAAGAAACCTACATTATAGACAAGAATAATAGCACTGCTAAAAATTTGTAAAACATCGTTTAGAAACGGAGTGGATAACCCTTTTGAATCTTGGGTATATTTAAAATCATATTTGCTGTAAACGGATTTCATAAATGCAGTGATGCGAATAACCATTTCAGTCACAAAAATTACTTTGAATTTCTTATTAATCTTCAAATGTATTATTAATCTTCAAATGTCTTAATTCCAAAGACACATTTAGGCAAGTTTCTGGAAGCCGTGATACTAAGCAGATGATTTATTGGGATTGCTATTATTTTGACCGCAGCTATATACATTGAATTTACACGGGGCTCACTCTCCATGTCTGTACCCATTCCCTATATATATTTATCGATTCTGAGAGCGACGCCTTGGGGATTCCTCTTCGTGCTCTGCGCATGTCCCTCCAAACCATGGCCCATGGTGCACAGCTGATGTTTCTTTCTGGGAGATGCGCGCGCAGCTTCATCCCGCGGAAAACATCTTCTTCGGCCGTGTATTTGCCATTTGCTCTAAAACCATTGGAAAATTATAAATACACGCGCCGCAGAAAGACTGCGCTCTTCTCTGCCGCGGGCAGTTTTCGGCTGAGAATTTTCAAATTTGAGGAAACCGAAACAGATTGAAATCTTCGTTTGTTGGCTGTGTGTCGCCGAAACTGCTGCCATATAAACTATATATCGTCGCCACCAGCGTTGTCGTCGTTCCGTCTTCGTCGTGTAACGGTACGGGGATCCCCCCTTTCTCGCCGTCTCTTGTTTTCCCCCACTCCCATCGATCTTCATATCGATCGTCTCCTTTCGCGCACCTTGTTTATCGATATGTGTGCTGTGTGTGCGTTTTTGTGTTTTTGATTTCTTTATTTTTTTTTTTTTTGGCTTAGGACTACCAAATAATCGAATAGAACAATATTTAGAGGTACATACTGGGCGTTTGTGCAATATAGAAACGCATTTTAGCCCGAGAGGAAGGTAGAAAATAAAACGCAATCCCAAAACAATTGCTGGGCACCGTGACATAATCAACCAAAAAACAAAAAACAAACACAAAATCTAAGAACTTTTAAGTGTTTTAAAAATAAAACTGTAGCAGCGGCAAGAACAAAATTGTCGAATACAAAAAAAACATCAAACAAAACAAAATAAGTGTTAAAAAGTGCGCGATATTCGTCGGACTGAGTTTGTTTAAACAAAACAAGATGCAAGATACCAGAGCCAAACTGTTTTATTGACCCCCCGCCAACGGTGGCGAGTAAATAATTAGAAATAACATAAAATGGGATAAGAGTCAGCCAGTCAAGCAGCTGCAAAACGTCCAAAAAGCTGATAGTAAACTTTGCACTTTTCCATCAAGTTTGCAATTACCGAGGCGAAAGATACTTTTAATAGAAGAAGTGTATGGATAGAGAAGGCTAGTGCAACAGTCATACACTCGGATACACAGTAATAAATTACGATCATTTGGGAACTGAAGCAAATATGTACCGTTCTATATGATCGAGGTCTTCCTATGAAAAGTTTTCTTAATGTCGAGTTGTAGTTTTAAAGTAAACTTTAGCTCGATCTCAAGGTTAGGAAAATAAATCTTATTTTGCGCAAATTTAATGTTAGGTAAAAGTTGTAATGAAAGTAATAATATTTTCTGTGTACTCGAAGGCGAAGGAGAAGACAACGCAGCGGCCAAGCAAATCAAAACAAAAACTCAAAACTAACAAATGGAGCACACACGTGTGTGTCTGTTAGTGTTTGTGTGCTACATATACACAAACTATATATTTATATGTGCGCCACAGATCGGCGGGGATTATTCATCAGGCTGCCACATCATCATCATGTTGATCTGCGCCGTTGCGGCGTCTCCTTCTGGTGCCCTCCTCCATCCTCCACTTTCCGCTTAGCTGGCGTTTTCTATAATTTTCGAAAGCTATTTTCGTTAGGCTTGCATTTATATTTAGTTGCCACAACAAACTTATAGCGAAAATCCAAGACACAAACTTGTACATGATACAATTTTGGCCATATGATGCGAACCAAAATAAAAGTCAACTGGGGTGGAAAACTTTTCCCCTTTGGTTTTTCCAACTCGCATGTGTGCGCGCAAGATTGAATGTGTGTTTTCGGTACAGTGAAAGCTAAGCCAGAGATCAATGAAGATCAGAAAATTAATTGAAATCTAAAGTGAATTAAAAATGCAATCAAGTTGAATGTTTTTATCAGAGATCGGAGATCTATCTCTTAAATTAAGTCTGTAAATTCAATTTTCGAAGAATCAACTCCGTGGATGAGGTTTCACTGTACTGGTACCAGCGTCACACGTACTGTGTACTAGGTATAATGCCCGGCTGCGCCAATTTACGTGCGTCGACGTCTATTTGTTAAAATAAGAAACAGATTTCGAACGGAACACAGAAAGGCATGGGAAAAGATGCCAAATGAACCCCACCGAGATATCACACATCAGCCAAAACGATCTTTCCAGGGATATTCATTTATTCACATCGCAATATATCTAGGGCAAGGTGCAGGTCTTTTGGCTAGAATCGCAAGGGGTAAGAGGTTTTTGGCTAGGCGGCGCCGCGATCAATGAGCTCATTGCTGTTTACGATTTGTAATTTGTATATGCTCTATATACCAAAACAAATTGGGGGTGGTATATGCCACATATATGTCGGATGTATATGGGCGCCAAAAAGAAAAGTCTATGGTCGAATGACGACCATTAATACAATTAGTAAGTCAAGTCGCCGGGCATTTGCCAAAATGCCAATGAGACATTGACATTGAGCGTGCGATCGATTGTTCCGATCCGATCTGATCCGAATAGAACCAATACGAACTGATCCGATTTTGTGCAGGTTTCCTTTGCCGCCAGCACTGGCAGCCTCGCGAGTCTTGCCCAGCTAGTCAAACCCAAAGCAATTCGAGGGAGACGCCAGTGCAATATTAGATAATCGAGTACTTTTTTCCCCTTGGGACCAAGAAAGAAAACTGACCAGGAACCGGAGAAATCACCAACCCCAGCCTACGGAATGTCCAACGAACTCAGCGAACTCATCGCCCTCGGCTGTCCGGATCTCACGGCCCAGAAGCCGGAGGGTGGCAGCACCAAGGTGGAGTTGATTCTCAACACGGAGCGCCGCCTGAGCATCAAGCAGATGACGGCCACGGATTTGGCCACTATAAGGGCGGCAGCCGCCGCCGAAGCAGAGGCCAGATCTAGGGCCCACGCAGAGGCGGAAGCGCGAGCAATCGCCCAGGAACAGTTGCGACAGGCCCGCGAGGCCGAGTCCAAGGCCAGAGCACGTGCTGCCCTCGAGGTGCAGGCCCAATTACAGCGGGTGATGGAGAGCGAGAAGCGCAGGCAGAAGGAGGAAGAAGAGGAGCGCGAAAAGCAACAGGATGAGGAAGAAAATGATGAAGAAGATGAGGATGAAGATGAAGAACTAGCCAAAGGTTCCCTCCCGTCCAACTCAGGCCCTAGGGAACGAATTACCTCCCTGCCCGGTAACATGGATGATGCCATGGAGATGCAACTGCTTAGCCTTTCGCATCCCAAGGCCTCATCCAAGGACGATTCCCCACCCACGAAGAGCACCTCCCACCTGGCCGACTCTATTGAGCTGCTTCGAATGCAGCGTGCAGCTCGCGGAGCCCGGTCCCACAATCGCACCCGCGAGCGATCCATTTCGCCAGACCGTAATCACGAAAGGAGCGCTGCTCCCGATCGCCTCCAGAGTTCCGCCAGCATGAGCAGTCTGGACTCTGCTTGCGTCAGTGCCTCGGCATCAGCCTCACGACAGCCCAGCAAGGCAGCCAGTCGACGGGGCAGCACCTCTAGTACCTCTGGGGTGGAACCACCTGTGGCAGCCGCTTCCCAGACAACCAAATTTCCCCTCGCTAAGACGGTATCAGCGCCTAATGTAATGAACCGTCGCCGCAGCAGCCTCACCTCACTCTTCCCGGGACCCTCACCATTGGTGGCACCCGAACCATCTCTGCATACAGACCCCGATCCAAAGGTTCAACAACAGATAGAGGAGGAGCATCGGAGGGGGCGAATGGATGATAGTTACCGTGAGATACCCACCGGAAAGATGGTGCATCGCACCAAGACACCGCCACCAGTGGGCACCAATCTCGGAGTAAGCCTAAAGCGAGTGACAGCGCCCAGTGGATCAATAACCATCAAGCCCAAGGAGTCACCCATGCTTGGAGTGGTTCTGCGCAGAGTAGAAAAGAAAACAGTGCCGCAGAAGAGCATTCTGGATGACGATAAACCACTGTACCACTTCTCCATTGTGCGCAGCGACCACAAGGAACATGTGCCTGACAAGAAACCGAAACCCAAGCCCGCTCCTCCAGCTGTTAAGCCAAGTCCCGGTGGCATCCTTACCGGACCTCAAGTTACTCGTATCGCTCCCAAGCAAGCAATGCCCGTAAAACCCCAGCGACCTATGCCCGGCGTGCCCATCACAATTACCAAGATCGAAGGCGACAAGATCATCATCATCAAGAAGATCATTGTGCCAAAGAACAGTAAAATACCGGAGCAATACCTGCAGGTTGGTCGTCGTCCTCGTTCTCGTCGTGTTGGTTATCGCTCTGTGGTGTCTGTAGCTCGTCTGGTGTTTGGTGTCTCCTTCCTCCTGTGTTCTGTTCGAAATCTTTTTTATAGAATTTACCTCGATGGTAGGAACACATTATTACACTTTAAATTAGGGTGAGTTATAGGGTTTTAAAAACAGGAAGTGCAAAGGTTATTTTTGTATATGATTAAATTGAACACTAAAACAAACGCACACACAGATCACACCTCAAGAAACCGCGAATAAGCTGAATAAACGAGTTCAGCTGAAATAGATTGCAAACCACGCTGAATCAACGGATTCAACTGAAATCGGATCTTTAATTCATAGAACCCAAACGGTTCACAGTGCGCGATCGTTTTCTATAGATGAGTGAAGATGCCGGCAAACCAGCAATTACAGTGCCTCCAACGGTTTCCTCCTCCTCCGCCGTCGCATCGTCGCCAAATCTAAGAACCAAAGAGGAAACCCAGGCAGCCATGCAGAAACCGACACCACCACCGGCCAGTGGTCAACAATTCTTCCAGGTGGTCTCCCCGCAATTCGCCTCAGTGATGTCTTCCAGCATACCAGAGAGCAAATGTGCAGTGCGTTCACCAATATCTTCACCCTTGGCCATCCGGAAAAGCCGTCCACCTCTGCTGCCGGCTAGTCCCAAGTCCACGCCTCCACTACCGCGGAAACACCATCCACTTGCCTACAACGCGGCCACGGGAACCATCAGTAGTGCCTCGGCAGCAGCGTTGCCCTCTCGTTTAATGGCCACCATTGCCTCGAGCCCGGCCTCGAGTATATCGCTGTCCTCATCCAGTTCACCTTCATCATCGCCGCCTCCGCCAGTGCCATGTCGGGCCCCAAAGAATGTCAACAAACCCTCTGCTCCCGCCGCACCTCCGTCCAAAGAGATCAGTCTGGACAAATTGCTGCAACAGCAACAGGAGCTGGAGGAGAAGTCGGCAGCAGCTAAGAACAGCGCCAAGTTGGATGCGAATTTCTATGATGCCGAGATCGAGATGATGAACAAGTATCTGAAGAGTTTGCCCGACTACAGCGAGCTGGATAGGAAGCTGCACCAAGAGTTCCAGGAGTGCGAAGATCTCTATGACAGGATCAAGCGTCAGCAGCAGCCATTGGCCAAGTCCATTTCGCAACAGTCGGTGACGAAGGCTGCTCCAGGAGCGGGAATCCAGCCAGTCTCCTCTGGACTATCCAAGTCTTCTTCAATTAACTTTGCCCAAAATCCCAACAGCCGAGGAGGTGCCCCGCGAATGGCATATCCCTCCATATTTTCACAGTCTGTAGGCGAGCCAAAGCTGCAGCGCAGCATTTCCAGTTCGAATATGCCGCTAAGTACGCCGGCTCCTATGCGTCCGCTACCCGCAAAGAACGGAATGCAAAGTGGTTCGAATCTGTCCCTAAACAAGCAGTTGATGAACGAATTCTGGAGCGAGAATCTAACTAGCTCCCAAAAGCGACAAACACCAAAGCGCACCTTTTGGAACTACGAGAAGATCTGTGGGGCGCAATTAGGTGATGCTGGACAGCCCTTTAAAGTGGATGCCAAGACCGCCAAGAAACTGGCTATATTTGATCCCACAGTGGCAGAGGCGGCGCAGAAGGAGCTACAGAGACCTCAACAGCCACAGGTGGCCCAACATTATCCCCATAAGCTGCAGAAGAATGCCTCCCTGTCGCATCTGGATCTCAAAGTGCGTCAGGCGGTGACCAAGGACGATCTCTACAAGCTGATCTGCAACGAGCAATCTCCATCGGCGGGAACGAGTTTCGTGAGCAGAGTGCCGGTTAAGCAGCAACCTCCAGCACAGCAGCAACAGGTGTTGCCAAAGAGCGTTTCCATGACCCATGTGCCGGGTGGTGGCCAACCCATGGGAGCTCCTCTGCTGAGGACTTCTAGCCGCACGCATATACCCTGCTATATGAAGAATCTGCCTTCGTTGAGCAGGAGCACTTCTAACTCTGCGATACTAATGACGCAACCACGCAAGGAACCTCCACCTAAAGAGCCACTCAAAGCTGCGCCACCACCTCCAGCGTTGGCTGCTGCTCCTCCGACTGTTAGCAAACCCAGTGGTGTTTTGAAAAGCTCCAGCAGTTCCTGTGTGCCTTCGCCTCGCTGTGCCGCCGCCTTCTTCCGTCGGCCGCAGGAATCCAGCAATCCCCAGCAGCAACATCACCAGCCACTGCAGCAACCGCAACATGTGGCGCCCATAGAGGAGTCAGGCCCAGGCGATTCCGCTTCTCTAGAACGAAAATCGGAGAAGAGCAATAGCACGATAAGCACGAGCAGCTTTACGGTGACCAACTGTTGCACCACCCACTTGCCGCAGCTCTCGAAGTTTACCTCATCGTTCCACATTGCCCCTACCACGGCAACAACCACAGCGTCAACAGCCACAATAACCCCAACTGCAGCAGCAACAACAAGCGATCACCAGCAGCAGCAACAAAGTGGTGCAGCAGCGGCGTTGTCTGCCAACTTGGAGGTGCCAACATCGTCATCGTCGTCAGCGGCCACAAAGCGCCAGAAAGATGTCGACAACAAGCTAGAAAAATGCTTGAACGACATGCTAAAGTTGAAGACCACAACCAACAACAGCAACAGCACTAGTACCAGCACTAATAATGCAATCATGTCGCAGTCGCTGACAGGGGAACACAAAGACCCGAAGACTGCAGTCGAAGGCCCCACGAGCAGCAGCACCAGCAAGTATGTGGGTGAATCTCAGATCCCCGTGCCAGTGCAGCTCTACGATCCGCAGAAGCCGTTGCTTCAACAACAGCAGCAACAAAGGATTTGCTATCCTATCGGAAAGTCGAACTCTACCTCACAGCTGCCCATGGGTGGCTACCAGAGATTGCTGCAGCAGCAGAAGCAGCAACAACAGCAGCAACCACATCAGCAACAGCAGCCATACCAGGAGCAGCAGCAATACCCCCAACACAAACGACCCTTCCTGAATTGGAATAGCTTTGCATGTTCGGCCATGAATGGAGCAAGTGATCCCTTCATGCAGCAGCAGCATATGCCTGCCCAGCAGCAACAGAATCTGCCCCACAAGCTGCAACAGTCGTATTCCTCCTCGCATGTGCCCAAGCAGGCGCCCAAATCGGGACTGGCAATGTTTTTGCAGAAGAACACCAACAAGGAGAACAAGTTTGGGCAGCCGTTGCAGCACCAGCCGCCCGGTATGATGCCCCAGATGTACGGCTACCAGGCGCCCCAGCCGCAATCCAAGATGAGCTATCCCCGCACCGGTGCCCCACTGACGCATTCGGCCTCCTTTAGCTCCGCCCAGAGGCCCACGGCCCTGCAGTTCCACCAACAACATCAGCAGCAACAGCAACATCAGCAACAACAGCAACACCAACACCCGCAGCAACAACACCAGCATTCCAACTTTGGCCTGGGCATGATGAGTAGGAATTACTATAATGTACCAAAGCAACCAGATCGCAAGCCGCTGCAGACCTTTGATCCGTATGCCTATCCCAAGCCGAATCAGATGCAGCCGGTCAAGTATCAGCAGCAGCAACAGCACCACCAACACCAACAGCAGCAACCGCATCCGCATACGCAGTTTCTAAATGCTTCCGCTGGAGGTGGAGGTGGCGGTGCCGTTGGTCTTCAATACGATCCAAATACAAATACGCAATTGTTTTACGCGTCCCCGGCGTCATCGTCGTCGAACATGCAACCGCAGCAACCACAACAGCAGCAGCAGTCGCAGCTACAACAAAGCAATTCTGTCATATTCAATCACTCAAGCCAGCAACACCAACCACATCAACAGCAGCAGCAGAATGAAATGTCCAAGTCCGCTTTGGGACTGCATTTTATCGAGGTAGATTCTATTCGTCAAACTTATTTTTGTCTTGTGTTCGTGTTGCACATGTGTTTGAAAAATATGCCCAAATGCCCACTAACAACATGCTACGCTTCCAAAGAAAGTTTTCCCCAAAATAGCCGGCTGACTCATCGATGGGCTCCAAAAGGCCTCCGACGAAGACGATGATGACGATTGCCCCCCTGTTTCTCTAGTTGCCTTCGCTTTGCTAATTTTTTTTGGCCCCCAAGTTTGTACTTCCTGTACTTTTGGTGGCGTTTCAAGTGTGAAGCGTTCCCAAGAACAGAAACACTTTATTGCTTACCTCCAACCTTACAATCTCGGTCCCCTTGGCGTCTACACCGATCTCTTGGCCTCTTGGCAGGCTCTTGCACTTGTCGACATCGACAACATTGCACAATCGACTTAAGACTGCGGGAAATTCAATGTCAATTTCCTCGGCGGGACGAGCACTATAAATAGTCTCTGGCTACTTAATTTATGTGTGTTTACTTGAATGCAGCGCTTAAACATTTTTTTTTGGTTATTTTTTAACTGCTTCCAAGATTTTTATTTGTTTAAATAATTTAATGCCAAACAGCGACCTCAATGTAATCGTTTTAATAATTAAAAAACACTAAACAACACGGAGCGCGTTCAGCAGAATCGAATTTCTAAAAATATGTAACACTCACGACCTGCTCTCGCGCTCTCCAACAGAAATGACTGATCGATCCGGAGACTGACTCGACTACTAAATACCCTAATTTCACTCCTCAACCCTCCTTAAACTTAATATTTTGATTGAATGCAAATATACCACAGCCTTTAACTTTTGGCAATGAAAAGTGGTTCCAAGTTTTTGGGTAATACCACTCTAATTAGGGTACATAATACCTTACCCTATCTCACAGCTCTTTTGCAGTTAGTTTTTTTGGCTTCTTTCGGTCGCTGCAAACAATAATAGCAACGGGAAGAGGCGCACACTCAGTTCAGCTCTCCCGCAGATCTTACGGCCGTGTTCTTTGCTCGGGGTTCTCGACATCGCCGATATTTTCAATCTTTATAATTAGTATTTGTGGCGTGCGCTTTCGTTCATGTTGCGCTGATTTTGGTTTGTTTTTTTCGACCAATGCGCAGGCAATCGGCAATCGGTGAAGGAAACGCGCTGTGAAATCGCCTGGGAAATCGGAAACGAAAATTAAAATCCAAAATTGGATGGCTCTAAGTGCGTGTGAAAGAAAGGGGACTTAAAATGCAGTTTTTATGAAACAACAATTTGAATTTGTCGCAGTGGCGGGGGCGACTGCAACTTACCTCTGTTGTGTGTGTCTATTTCCGTCGAAGCTGCCGAATCTCTTACAATTTCAATTATTTTTACACATAAATACGCTCTTCTATACTAGATCTCTACGTACATATTGCCACTCCGAGAACGTACAATACATTTATATTTTATTTGTCTACAACAAACTCATGCTCCCAACAAATACCAGAAATCAGTACAATTAATGAAATAGACCAAGTCGGAAGAGCACGATCCTCCGTATCCGCAAAAAATTCAAACGGCCAGACGGTACACCCACCCACAACCAGCCCCTAAGAGGCGTTAAGTATTATCCGATTGTCGTCATCGTCATCTCGGGCGAGACCCACGCGAAACCGACCGCAAAGGGGAGATTCGAGATCCGAAAAAGCCAAGAAATGGCCACATTTCTGAATCGTTTTCATCGCGAAAAAAGCGAAAAGATATTGCCCACGGCAGCGTCGGCGGCGGCCGTTGAAAATGGAAAAACAGCTGACGCGGAGGCGGTACAGCAGCGTCCGCAGCGGCGGTACATGCGCAGCGCCACCGCCGCCAGCGTCACGCAGCTGCTCTCTGAAAGCTGCAACAGTCTGCTGCAGCGGTTTCGACGCAATCCGAGCGAACGACCTGATAATAAACAGCAGCAACATCAGCAGCAACATCAACAGCAACAGCAACACCAGCAGCAACAGCAACACCAACAGCAACAACGCAATCGGTAATCGATGCAAAAGAAATCAAGCAAAAGATTTATAATTTATTTTTAATTTTGCGTGCCTTCTTTTACTTTCGTCGCCTTTCGTCAAACGAAAAACTCGGTCAAAACTCGCTCATTGCTTTTCCCTCTATTTTCATTTCACTCGCCTCGGGATTTTATTTCTGCCTCTGGCTCTGGCGTTGATTTAAGCAGAGTGGTCAGCGCGTAATTGCGAGTTTAGTTGCAGCGCGTCACTCCGCGGTCGAAAGTATCTCGCGATCGGATCATTTCTTCGTTTCGTATATTGCATTTCCCATCTCTCGGCCAACTGCCTTTTGGCCATCGAAAAGAAGGCCAATTATGTAAACGGCTCGAGTGCGTTTTTAATCGCGTTGAACTCGCACCTGAACTTCCAGTAGTGCGACGATCTCGAAAAGTGTGAAAATCACGTTGCCATAAATCGTGAATGATTGCCAGGGGAGAAAAGATTTGAGTACTGCCTGCAGTCCGAATTTGATTTATCATTTTTAATTGCCAGTCATAAATCAAATAGAGCTTAACAGAGCTCCACAGTCAGACAGTCTTATTTGCGCTGGATACCTCTAATTGTCAATCTTAAGAGTCAATAATTGTTTTGGTGATTAATACCTTTAAACTGAAATGGAAGATAGTTGGCCAAAACTTTGCTTTAAAATGAAATCTGTTTACTTATGTCTTCCAGCATTTCCATAAAACCTCGAAATGTTTGCCAAAATATACGCATTCTTATAAGGCTAACAAAAGTTCAATATTTTCGCCAGAACTTTTGGTTGCACAAAAAAGCTTGCTTTCCCCAAAAGCTTTCACAGCTGTATGCATTCTCTGAGTGATTCTCTTTAGTAGTAGAATTCTTTAAAAATCTCTTCAGCTGTCTTCGGGGAATACCAGATAAATTCTCTAGTTCTATTTGATGTCTGCCAAATTCTTCCTCATTACGCATGTTTATAAAGTATGCGATCTCTCTTTTTCGCTGCTCTTTGTTTAACTGCAATTGCTTCTTTATTATTTATATGCGAGCACGTTTAAAATAAAACGTAAAATGTTTCCCTTTGTTCTTTTTATTTCTTTTCCGCTCAACCAGCAGCACTTTTATTGTTCTTCTGTTGACTTGTTGTTTTGTCGGCGAGAGTTCAAGGCTTTTTCTGCGAAGACTTTCGACTTTTTTGCGCTAACTGACGAACTTTACGATAATTTCCCGTGCGTTTTAATCGTCCAGCTGAAAAAACATTCGAGCATGATAATATACATCCCATCCAACCTTTTTTTTTTTTTTTTTTTTTTTTTTTTCTTCTCTCTCCCCCCCTCTTCTCCCCCCTCCCTCTGGAAAGTGCGCAATATTTTCACACTTTTGACGGAAATGTAAACGATCCAATATTTGCAGCACATTATTTCCTTCATCTACTCGGTTCTCCCCCTCCCCCCTTTTTTTTTTTTATTGTACAAGTTACAAAGTGAAATGCATTGCGATTAAGCGTGCGCTTCGCGTGCGTTTTAATTCGTCCAGCTGGCAGACAAAAGAAGCATTCCCCTACGAAGCGAATCGCATCCAATATACTATCCCATCCACCCACTCGTCTACATATGTTATTTGGGTGTTCTCCCGCTCTCGCTCGCACCCTCTCGTCCCCTCTCGCTCTGGCAAGTGCGCAATATTTTCACACTTTTCACAAAAATAAAAACGATTCCTCAATATTTTCTGGCTGCCGCAGCAGCATTATTTCCTTCATCTACTTCGGTCTTCGCATCTGCCGCCTCTTTCTTTCGTCGTCGCACGAATTTTCCGAAAAATTTTCCCAAGTTTTCCTCAGTTAAATTTTGGTCCGTGTCGTGGCAGCGCGTCCCGTCCGTCGTCCGTCGCGAACCGCGTGGATAAACGCATCCAAACCGAAAAAAAAAAAAAAAAAAAACGAATCAATCCTCACCAGAACTTATTGTTTTGTTGGGCTTCTCTTTCAAGTGCGGCAGCTATAGCCGAGGAACCAAAAGATTCAAAACCCAGACGCAGCCTCTCCAAGACCCCAACGAATGACAGCAACAATAATAATAATAATAAGGGAAAAGGTGGATCCAGTAATCAGACCCAAAAGCAGAGCAAACGACGCCGCAGCTCGGACAAATCGTTGGCCAGCCGGAGACATCCGGAAGGGGAAAGGGAACGGGAACGGGAACGGGATAGGGAACGAGATCGCGATCACGAACGGGAGATGGCCGATCGCCACAGACGCTACTATGCAGGCGGCGGCCTGGGAAGCACCGCAGGATTGGGCTACCATCCCAGCAGCAGCGGGAGCAGCAGCAGTGCCGCCTTGATGGGTCGCTACCAGAAGAGCTCCACCACAGCCAACGCCCTGGACAGATTGCGCACCCACTTGAGTCCCGTGGGCGGTTACTATAAGCCACTCATACGAGGATTGGGAGGCGGAAGGCGGGACCGCGACCCAGACGATGTTAGTATCTTCGAAATCAAACAAAGCGGATCAGCAGCGAGCGGTGTGCAAACCAACGGAGACAGAGACCCAGACCCAGACCCAGATCGAGATCCCAAAAGCGAGCCTCATGACTCACTGCCTGGGTATTCCATTTTGGAGACCGAAAGAAATCATCTCACCTGTCACCCGTGAGTCAGCGAAAGGTTGACTGCCCTAGATGTGTGACATCTCTGACGGCCGAAACGGGAAAATATGCGCAATTAAAGGTGTATATATGTGTTTGCCCAAACAGTATTGCACTAAGGCTACCTCTATTGCTACACACATGCCTATAGAAAGTTTCTTCCTACACAGATATATGTGCAGATATTATATTAGGGGCCCACACGGTCGCGTTTTATAGCGCTTCTATATGCTCATTCTATATCTTCAGCTTCATTCTTGCCGTGTGCGTTTACGTTGTCGAATTTATTTTCGATTCCAACATCTCGGCGCTTTTCTCTATTCCGCTATATTTGTATCTCTCTGTACGCCACAGATGTGTATAAAGCTATTCACGATTTTCTGCCGTTTTATATATAAACTTTGAAGGTCGTCGCGCCGTGGACTTTTTTGTTTAGATTTCGCTAGGCATTCTAAATAAAAATAAAGGGTATCCCCGCAGACCACCTCTCCGAAAAGTAGAAAATACATGGAGAAAGCCGGATAGAGTGGCTTTAATGGTAGTGAAATTGTGCAAAATGAAAAGGCCCAAGCACCCCATAATTAGCCACTGCCGAAAAGGCCATTTAAATGGGTCTAAGTCTGGGCTTGGGTTTCGGTCTCTGGGCCTTCTTCTTTCGTGGAGCGTAAAAAGTTTTACGTCCGTCACCGTTGGTTTCACACGAGCGCTGCTTTTGAGCACTTTCCTTCTCCATTAAACCCCTGAATCCGAAACTGAATCTTAATCCAAATCCCCCCCAAATCGTCTGGTTTCTCAGCGACGAGATCTGCTCTTGGACAAAGACAGAACGCCCACCACCTCAGCGACTGCCGCTGGAGGCAAGCAGTCTGCCATTTCCCGGCTGGAGAACAAATACTCGGACATCTTGGAGCGAGCGGCCGGAAGGCGACGCCATGAGGAGGATCGTGACAAGACGCTGGAACCGGACGACTATGGCGCCAGCAGCAGTGGCGGGCTGCTCCGCTCGGCTACAACCCACCAGCTGGGCAAGTCAAAGTTGTCCTCCAGCTCTTTTAATGCTTCGGATCGTAAGGAGCGCACTCCCTATCGAACTCGAGCTCAAAGACAACGCTACATGGCGGAGTCCAACGATAGTGGCTATCTGACCAGCGGAAATCGGTTGCTGGACGAGAATTACCCTCTGGACTATGGGCAGCGATACGATTATCACGATGCCCTGCGTCTTGGAGGAGCCTCAGGTTATCCGTCCAGTCGCTATGGCCGAAGAGGAGGTGAAGAAGAAGCCCTTTCGCCGCGCTCCACAAGGGCCTATGGAAGAACCAAAACTACCGAAAGCCTCCTAGCCGCTGAAATCCAAGACAGTGGTCGAAATGCAGCCGGTCGCGCGGAAGATCGACCCCTGAACTCGAGGAACCGCTTCGCACATCGACGAAAGGAACAGCCACCACCAGAATTGACTGCTGAAGAGCGAGAAATCCTCGCCGACGATCGTTCATCCGAGGACAATGCAGCCATTCTTATGCTGCTGCGGGAGGACAACCAGTTTCTGGAGGCCAAAAAGTTTGAGGAGCGCATGCGCAAACGCCGCGAACTGAGAGATCGCGTCAAGCGCATGGAAGAGGCAGCCGAGGAGGCGAAGAAGACTGAAGCGGCAATAGCGGCGGCCGAAGCAGAGGCAGTTGCTGTCGAGGAGGAGGCCAAAAGGGCCAAGGAGGCAGCAGCAGCAGCGGCAACTGCAGCAGCAACTGCAGCGGCATTATCAGCAGCAGCGAAAGTGGAAGTGCCGCAGGAGGCGCCCAAGAAGAAGTCGCGCAGCAAAAAAGTAACTAGAGATGGTAGCGATGACAGTGGCTCCTCCGAAAGCACCTCGGGCAGTAGCTCCTCCGATGAGGAGGAGACAGAAACCGAGACCGATTCGGCTGCGCCCGTTGTGCAACTAACCCACACAGCTGACACAACCCCAAAGACACAGATCACGTCTGTCAATGGCAGCACCACTATCTCCAGCACCACCACCCCCTCCGATACAATAACCACCTCATCCACTAGCACCTCTGCTCTTTCTAACCACACAACGGCAGCAGCGACGGCACTCTCCTCCGGCACCACCAACAAGAGCCGCTTTCTGCCCCAATCAGATCGCAACAACAATGACCTCGCCAAGTACAAGCCCAGTAGCCAGCTGATGCACTCCTCCAGCTCCGGGGCACTGGCTTTCGGCGGTATTGGAGCCCGACTGGCGGCGGCCGATGCTCGTCGTCAGCAGCAGCGGTATCAGGGCGCCAGTTCACGTACCGCCGCCGTACTCAGCGAGTTTGATCGCTACAAGCCGGGTTCGGGAACGGGAACGGGCTCAGGATCCAGCTACCTCCACGACTCGTACAGTGGGAGTAGCAGGCGTTCCAATGCTTTGGGCGGCAGTTCGCTGTATCCACAGAGATCCCAACTGGATGCCTACCAGCAGCATCAGCAGCAGTCGTCCTCCTACCTGCAGCAACATGATCATTACCTGCTGGCCAAGAGCGCCACCTCGTCGGCGCTGTTCAACAGGTCACGCATTCCAAAGACACTCTCGACCTTTGTAAGCAATGAGCCACATCCTGGGGATGGATGATTCGTTAGCAGCTTGAGCTTTGTTGGCGCAGCCTCTTCTAACTGCAACTGCAACTGTCCATTGACACCCAACCCATCCCCTGTCTCAAGACCCCATCTCCAATCTACTCCCCAAACAGTCGACATACTACAGAAAAAGCTAACAGCACTGCGGATTGTATTTCCATGTTGACTAACAGATACAATTATTGTTCCTGTCTGCGCGTTTTGCATGCGATTTTGACATTAAAACTAGGAAACAATGTAAGAAATCCTCTGACCTTGACTTATACAACAAAAAACGTTTTTAATTGTTCTTTTACCATTTTACATTTACGAAATATTACAAAAAAAGAAGCTATTAATGTAACTACTAAACATTTAATGGTTTGTTGTTTTTTTTATTGCCCAAGAAACAAGAGCACAGCTATTGGTGCATTTCCTATAAATATATATAATACATTATATATGCCATTTTCGATATACACCTATATGCCATTATATATTATATTGTTTGTACATGTTTTGATATTAACCATTTTTGTAAACACAAATCTCAAAAATTTGTCCGAACTAATTTTCTTATCGAACAAACGAAACGTATTTTTCTCGTGTTTTTTCTGAATATGATGATGAAAATCACAATGATGATGATGGGGTTGATGATGATGATGTACATACACAACTTGATGGGGATGATGAAATGATGATGATGTTGGTTGGTTAACGGGCTATCTGCGGCTGACTTATAAACGGAATGCGATTGCTTTTGGTGCCATCGTGGGATCGTTTGGATGTGACGCGCTTTTGATTGGCTTGACCTGCTGATGGCCTCGACCCCTGGAACACCGATTGAACCCCTGGAAAATATATAAATTTTTGTTTCTTTTTTCTCTTTCTTTTTTGTTTCTTTTTCTCTCTTTCAAATTACATACTTTTACCACACACGCACACACGCACCTTATGTGTACGTCTGTTACTGCCATCATCAACAACCACGCCCCCCCAACTTCTACAACAATCTCGCTCGCAAATTCTTCGCTCGCCGTTTCGCTCGCAACCACCCACCTTCTCTCAACGGATCGAATGCACCACCCGCAACGCAATCGCAATCGTCGCCTCACACCGCAACCACCGCCCCACTCCCTGCAACATCGGCAACGCCAACGGCAACCACTGCAACCACCCTACGTCGTCGATCGCTCCGCTCCAATCCGATCCGATCGATTGCTCGAACAGACAGCAAAGCCCGTCATTCAAGATGATGCTGATGGTCACTTAATTTACCACACCGGAGACATTCTCCATCACAGATGTTCGTGACAATTTTTGGTTTTTAATTTTTCCATACTTATGTTTAGAAAACAATCAGAAAACTTTAAAAAAAAAAGTGAAGAAAAATAATGAGAGGCAAAAGCCACCAGTCACACACTTCTCTTCTTCTTATAACTCTCTTTTAGTTTAAAATATTTCCAAGTTTTCTTTATTATTTCTTAATTATCACACAACAAGACCAAAATCGCGTCGCGTGCAATCGGGAAATTAAGACAATTTCGAACGAAAAAAGAGAAGGACAAAACAACAATTGAAAATTTTCACACAATTTTCGTCAGTTTCGCGAAAACCGTTTCAACTTCCGAAATTTGTCTTTGACGACTCTAAGTTTAACTTTTACCGGCAACAAAATTTCCCCCAACCACGAAATTCATCTGGGAAGTTTTTACACATAAACCGAACACGAACTTTGTCGCCATAATTAATGAAATAATATTGAAAATACTACCTTTCCGTACACTCAGCTTAGAGTCCAAATTAGTAATTTGCCCAGCCCTCATCAAATATTTAGTTATAGCTACAGGTTTAGCTTTAGAACAAGAAAAATAAAACAGACAGCTAACAATTAACACTCTCGACAGCCTTGTTCGAAACCCTACTACAACATGCTATCCTTTTCCCGAATTTCAGATAAGATCATGGCCACACTGGGAGAGGGAACTTTCGGACGTGTGGTCAAGGTCAAAGACATGGAGCGGTAAGATCCTCTATTTGTGAATTAATTAGAGCAATACAAAACGTTCTCAATCGTTTCAGTGATTACTGCATGGCCTTAAAGATTATTAAGAACGTGGAAAAGTACCGTGAAGCTGCCAAGCTGGAAATTAATGCCTTGGAAAAGATTGCCCAAAAGGATCCGCATTGCGATCAGTAAGCTTAAGAAATTTTATTTTTAAATAATCCGAAAATTAAACAAATAATGTTTTTACTATTCCAGTTTGTGCGTGAAAATGATTGACTGGTTTGATTATCATGGACACATGTGTATAGTTTTTGAAATGTTGGGGCTTAGTGTTTTCGATTTTTTGGTAAGTAATAGCTTTGGTTCTTAGATGGGTTTTGTTCGTTAAAGTTTTTATTAAATCTTTACAGCGTGAGAACAACTATGAGCCATACTCGCTGGACCAAGTGCGCCACATGGCCTATCAATTATGCTACTCCGTGAAATTTCTTCATGACAATCGTTTAACGCACACAGATCTCAAGCCGGAAAACATACTCTTTGTCGATTCGGATTATACTGCTCACTATAATCATAAGATTGTAAGTACAGCCAGAACAATATGGATTCAAACATTCAGACTTATGCTCTTCTACCCCACAGAACCGCGAGGTGCGCCGCGTCAAGAATACGGATGTTCGTCTTATTGACTTTGGGTCGGCCACCTTCGACCACGAGCACCACAGCACAATTGTCTCGACGCGACATTACCGCGCGCCCGAAGTCATACTGGAGCTGGGGTGGTCACAGCCATGTGATGTTTGGTCTATTGGGTAAGAATCGGATTGTCATTTTATGTATGCACATATTGAATGATCTCCGAAATTTCGCCAACAGCTGCATCTTGTTCGAACTGTATCTGGGCATCACGCTCTTCCAAACGCACGACAATCGTGAGCACCTGGCCATGATGGAGCGAATCTTGGGACAAATACCATATCGCATGGCACGGTAATACAATGCAGCTCATGCTTTTATTTCCCAAGGCGCAGTTCCCTTCACCGAAATCGTTTAACGTTTAGCAACCATACTCTTTATAGCAAAACCAAAACAAAGTACTTCTATCATGGTAAGTTGGATTGGGATGAGAAGTCCAGTGCTGGTCGCTACGTCCGTGATCACTGCAAGCCGTTGTTCCTGTGCCAGCTGAGCGACAGCGAGGACCACTGTGAGCTCTTCGGTCTGATCAAAAAGATGCTGGAGTACGAGCCCTCGTCCCGCATCACGTTAGGTAAGCTGGCACCACAGACTTGTCGATTAACTAACATGCTAAATTATATAATGTTTCGTTCCAGGTGAGGCCCTGCGCCATCCGTTCTTCGACAGGCTGCCACCGCACCATCGAGTGGGAGAAGTGAGTAACAAACAGCCCCTCTCGTCGGGCAGCAGCAGCCGCGAACGGTCGCACAGCCTCTCCAGATGAGAATTACAGCGATTTGGTTATTGTTGACAGACGGCGCTTATCAAGCACCCACTCATGCAAACATACACTCAAAGCAGTCGTCCAGCAACGGATTGCACCAGCCTCGTAGAGTAAACCACCAACTTTACGGCAAAACCCTATTTTAAGTGCTAAAGTCTTTTATTCTAAATTTTTTGAACTTGACTTGTATAAATGTTTATTATACAAAAATCCTTAGATCCATATGATCCATTGTTTCCTAATATTTCGCGCACATGTTGCTGTGCATCATTTAGAGCTGTGTAGCGCTACGCTTGCGCTTTGTGCATTGTACCATACCCGCAAACGGTGTTTTGTTCTGTAATGATAACCAAATCGTGTAAAATATTGATAGTACGGTGCGTCCCCCCGGCACTTGAACCTATTTGTAAATGTTTTGAATTGTCCAAACCCACACCCCCAAGGTAGAGGAGACAAATTGAACCGACTGCGAAACCGATTAATGGAATATAAAAATGTAGTTGTAAAATAAGAAAGTCGCTTACACGCTAGTTGAAATGCATCCCCATATGTACACTGTCACAGCAATGGGAGCCGACTAATTTATAATTAATACACCATTTCGAGAGCGTGAACTGTAAGCTAATGCAAGCCATTATGTACACCACCCACGAATGTACGGATAATTGTAAATGTAAAGAGCAATTGTTATGCCGCCCTGTGTACACTTCAGCTATCGCAGCGCATTTTGTGTAAATTCAGTAGCAGCCCAGAGTCATCTCTCTAAGAATACGTTTTGAAATGTGTAGAACCATCGCCGGCCTGTTTTGTTCGCTTTCGTTTTATTATCGAATATCGAAAGATCAACCCATTCACACATTTCTACACACATCGTATGAGCCCCATGGTATATTTAAATATACTATACTACATACTTAATTCAAATGATTGTGAGTTAGTTTAATATTACATAAATATTAATTATAAATTACATTATTTGCAATTTAACCCGATCAACCAGCATATAAGATAAAAAAACCAATATTGTCAAGTTATTAAAAATTGAAATAAATCTTAAATAAAAAAGAATTTACAAAACTTTGTTTTTAATTAATGGAGTAAATCGTCTGAGAAAGAAGACAAAATATCGTCCCAAAAACCCAGTTTAATACGATTTCTTAAGAGTTATGGCATACTATTGGAGGTTAATCTATTTTCTGATTGCTGATTTGGTGTTGAATACTTTTGGGGTTTCGTTGGGACAAACGTTGATAAGTGATGCTCACCAATAAATGTTTCACACTGTGTTCCATAGCAGCCATAGCAATCAATTGTGATTTATTTAATTTTATTTAACCACAAAGGTTTTATATTAACTTGTTATTTCAGAATTTGTAAAAGTAATTGCCCTGCAAAAAATATGCTAATAGAAGCATAGCTGACGCGCTGTTGCTGGATTTGTTTATGTACCGACAATTCCGATTTACAGAATAAAAAAACTAAATTATTTTTTTTTGTAAGGAAAAACTTTAATGTTTACCAACCAACAAATTGCAATTACATAGCTGGTAATATGCATATTAAAGCTCTTTAAAACATTCACATTCAGTTATCATGATGAGCCCTTGCTGGTCAATTTTCTTTCTCGGAGTGGCGAGTGCTATGGACATGCATTATGCCACATCGACACGTGAAATGGCATCCCTGCTACAAATAGAGGACGAACTTATAGGACATATGCGTCAGTATGCAAGGGAATTGCAGCTTAAAGTAAATACAATGCGGACGTAGGTGATTTGTTAACATTATTGGCAATTATATGGCATAGAAATGTCTATTGTTTAAGTTTTCAGAAAGAATGGAAGACGAGGAGAGAGCAAGGGCCTGCAGATCCTACGACCTATGTGGCCAATCCCCTCATAAGTTTTCCTCTCATGCGACGGATGTACACAGATGCTCCAAAGTTGATGGAGTTTGCTCGACAGGAGCTAGGCCAGGGTAAGTCCATTCTACGACTTAAGTCCAAAAGATATGTAATATAAGAATTTTTTGATTTATCTTAAAAAATCAAGGTAATCTTTAAAATTAATAATAAAACTTTTGATGGGCAGGTCCTCTTCAAAAATTATTAGAAAGGGATTTGACTAGTATTTCAGCACTGGAAATGCATATGGCTGCAACTGGCTTAATTCGCTTTCAGGGCGTTTATGGCCTAGAAGCAAGCGAAATGGCCAATGGAAAACTATATGGTACACAGTACAAGTGAGTGTTATACACTATAAGCCCTTTGACCTATCTTATTTCTATTTATCAAAAGCTCCACGCTGAGTTCCGCAGATTGCTTCGCTTTGGGTACTCATTTAGAGAGGCTGCAAAAAGGTAAACTGGCCTGCAAATGGCTGATTGTGTCCGTGGATCAGTATAATGATCAATTGGATCCTGTAAATAGGTTACTTCTAGCAGGTCGTTCTCAAATCTATGAGAAATTAGGCCTAACTTTGCTTTCTATGCGTAAGTCATTATGAAAACAGAGTTAGACTTTATCATTCGAGTTGTTAATTATGTAGATGATTTACCAGCTAGTCAAGCTGCCCTGAAATTGTCAGTAGCGTGTGCCTCCAAGGATGACAATACTAAGCTGGCCAATCACTTGATTGATAACTTGGCTCACATGCTTGTGCACGTGGACAACTGTCGTGGAAAAAACCCTCTTTCGAGGAACTCCTCCCTTCGTTGTAGTTATTTTACAGAAAGTGACCCATTTCTTCGCCTAGCTCCTTTGAAGCTTGAACAACTTAACCATGAGCCTTTCATTGCCCTATATCATGATGTCGTATTAAAAGAAGAACAGGAGGATTTATTATACCATACACGATCCAGGTTAGAGCAGAGGCAGGTAGATCCGGCTGGCGTTGAGGCCGAAGTGGAGGCCAATGCCTCTGATCATGTAAGGCGACTTCACCGAAGGATTGAAGATATGACAGGATTCGACTTGGAAGATAGCAAACCTCTGACAGTTTTCAACTATGGCATTGGAGGACAGCAATTCATCCACTTGGACTGCGAGCAGCCCAAGGTTAGTCTGGTTTATATTACTCTAGGTGCTTTATGTGGAACTTTTTATTTTCTAGGAATTTGTTGAACCTTTTACCACAAAATATCGCACGGTCACTGTCCAGCTTTTTGTAAGTTTCCTTTTCAATATCTTAGCGAATAAAAACAATATCAAAATAATATGACAAAAAATAGTTAGGTAGTTGAACAAATATTTCCTTGAATATTAGCTTTGCAGATTTAATGAAAAGACAATATTTACCAAACGACATAAAAAGCTTAAAATCACAATCAATTTACTTCTTGCATAAATAATAAAAGTGTATGTTTATCATTTGTTAGTATTCATCAGCTGCAGGCAACTAAATTAGACTAAAATTTAAAGTATTGACTTCCCCTTTCCTAGCTAAGTGATGTTGAGATGGGCGGATATGCTTCTTTTCCGGATTTGAAATTTGCCTTTAAACCTGCAAGTGGATCGGCATTGGTTTGGCACAGCACTGACAATTTCGGGAATTGTGACGTTCGAAGTTTACATGCCATCTGTCCGGTGCTTCTTGGAACGCAGTGGGGTAAGTCATTAAAGTCCTTCATCGATTCTTTTCTCCTCTACTTACTATCCGGAAAACAGTGGCCAGAAAATGGATCAGTGGGTCAGGCCAGTGGCGCAGGAAACCATGTCGGAAGTAAAGGAAAAGCGGTTTTCCATTCGGTTTTTTTTTCCACTTTTGCGATAATTTATTCAATAATTTTGTCGTTATTTATATTATGATAATAAATTTTATGCACTATTTTATAGTATTCATATTTAATTTATATGCAATGTAACATTATTTGGGGCAGGGGAAAAATGGTAGGGTTTGGCATCCAATTGTCCACTTTTGATATCCTCTTTAGATTTATTAGGGGGGCGGGGAGCAGGGACAGGGAGTTGGCAATGGGTCGGGGGGCTGCGCGGGTGGGAACAACGCGTTTCCTGATACGTATGCAAATGATATTTGAGGCAGCGGGTGGCGCCTCCGGCAATATGTATGTGTGCGTGGGCGGCCGGGTCCAATAAGTGGGAGTTGGTAGTCGGAACCGGAAACGGAAACGAACAACAAGAACGCAGGCGAGAGAGAGAGTGATGTCGATGTCGGTGTCCGAGGGAATCTGTAGGAATACTTGATTGCCGGCTCTGATTCTCTCAGTTTTGATATCACGCTCCCCCGGCTCTCAGTTTCAGCCTCATCCACAGAAGCATCAGCATGGCGAGCAGGGGCTGCCCCGTCGTCTGGTTACTCCTAGCCGCATTTCGAGCCGCCTCCTCGAGACCTATGGTAATGAAAAAGACATTAAAGCCAAAGATTTTAGTCGCAGAAGTTGAAAATAACTTTAACAAATTTGTTAAATATCTTAATAATTTATATTTCGTTTGCAGGTTTTTTTTCCTCCAAAGAACTCACCTCCGATGTAGTTCAGATGATCATCGTTGCTGGCGGAGGCGCCCGGATGAAGCTTGATTTCTGCAACACAAAACCGACGCCCCGAGAAAAAAAATTGGACAAACAAAACAAATTTAAACCCGTGAGGGAGAGATGGCGAAGCAGAGATTGCGTATACGCACCGTATAACCGCAATGTGCCCTCGGCACGGCCCAACGAGTTTGTGCTGACGCAGTGATAGGTGCCCACATCGGAGGGCGAGAAGGAACGCACCACCAGCAGCATGACGCCCCGATAGCCATCGCGCCGCTCCGTTATCCCGTACTTGGGCCTGCAGTGGATATGGGTCGAAATGGAAGAGAATGGAATGGATTCGAGATGGATATGTATCGCTGATGTCTGGTAGCCGGAATTCCCCGAACTTACCCGTCGAGCAGCATTTCGGGGCCCGGCGAGCCGGACTCCAGGCTTGCCGTGGAGACGCTGGCGAATCCATTGGATGTCCGTGCTCCCTTCAGCCAATAGGAGACGGGTGATGGCGAGGCCTCCACCTGGCATTCCAGCTGCACATCGGAGCCCAGGGGCGTGCCCAGAAGTTGGCTGGGGGCCCTCACCATTGGGGCAACTGTGGAGTGAGTGATGGAAACGAAACGATTGAATTCAGGAGAAGGAACAACAAAAAGGGAATAATAAATATACTTTTATTATTCGCTTTTTTAAGCAAATATCCCATTGACTTTAAATGGTTTTTTTATATTGAACAAATTTAAAAATGCGAAATATTTTATTCATCAGCATATGTTAATACGTTTAACAATTAAGAAGTAATAACTTTAATCATTTAAGATAAACAGCAAATCACGACAGTTTAAAAAACCAACTAAATATACAAACTACATTTGAAATGTTTTAATTATTGAACAAAAATATTTGACTTATAATCTTTGAAGTGGACTTGAGAACTAGTGAACTAGTTGAACCTCTCCTTTTTAGTTTGTATTTTATTAATGAGGTAAATATTTAATAACTCACATTGCACACTCAGCGAGACTCGTTTGCTGACAGCAGGTGGAACATCGTTGGAGGCAATGCACAAGTAGGCCCCCATCTGACGCCTTTCCAGACGAAGCAGCCTGAGTGATGATCCATTGTAGGATTCCACTAAAAAGGGCACATAGTCACAAATTATAAGCATTTTTTAATGGGTGTAGATAGACTTCTAGGGCTACCCACCTTTCATTAGCTCACGACTGCCTGGCTTGCGAATGAGAATCATTTCGCCATCTTCCCTGCGCCAGATGACTCGCGGCTGGGGATTCCCCGTGGCCTTGCAGGTCAGAGTGGCATCCTCGCCCTCCTGCACGGCCAGATCGGCGGAGGACTCTTCATTTATGATATCTGGTGGCACTATTAAAATAACATATCTTTTGTGAGTTAAAGTTCCATCAAAATAATTCGGATCTAAAAACGTACCCTGCACATCGATGCAGCCCACTTGTTTCTTCATGGGACTCGTGTTTATTTGGCACATATAGCAGCCTCGATCACTTTCGCGCAGTTTGCTGATCTTTAGTTTCCAACTGATTGGCAGGAGGTTAAACATTAAGTTATAGAATTTCTATAAACTATCGGCTTAAACTTACGTGTGCAAATCCTGGTGCATGACGCTAATTCGCGCATTGTGGGTGACCACACGACCTTGAAGAGCCAATACCGTCTGATCGGATGCTCTTAACCAGCCCACCTGTTAAAAGGGGAGTGTTTATTACAATGTATTTTGTAAAACAAAAAAGACTTAAATATATATTTGTGCGTATTTTAAAACAAGGTTCGAAGTTTAAAATTGTTCTTGTGTAAATTCAATGGAATTGGTGGCTGATATTTTTGGTGACAATACCTATGCTGTGTGAAATTCTCATAGCTCACCTTATTCTTGCCCAGATTCCGCACCGAACAGGCCAAGATGGCCTCGCGTCCAGCCGGATATGTGACATTGTTGATGAACCCTATGAATTCCGGATCGGGATCCAGCTGGGAATTGCCCTCTGCGAAAGGAATGCCATCGGATGTAGTGGGTCCCCTGCTCGCAATTAAATTGCCCCCTGCCCACTTACCGTGATGCTGGTTCTGGGTCGAGCCACTGCCGCATTTTGTGGCCATTATCAGGATGACAAACAGCGTCGATTGCAGCAGTTTCTCCATATTGTTCTTGTTGTTGTTGTCGTTGTTGCAATTTTTGTTGGTGAAGTGGTTGTTGTTCCTACTGCTGTTGCGGTTCTTTTATTTGCTGCAGCAGCTGCTTCTCTTGGCACTCTTTGTTTTCCTATTATTTTATGGGTATTTTAGTTGCTAGTTTTTTCTGTGGGAGTCTCGTGGCAATTTCTATTTCTATTTGCATTTGCATTTGAATTTGAATGCGAATTCCTATTTCAATTCCGATTCCGATTGCGAATTCTATTTACCGCGTGTTTGTGCCAATTGGGCTTTGATTTTCAGCTGGTTCGCTTCGCGTCCCACTGCCACGCCCATTGACATCTGCAAGTAAACAAAAAATGCGAGCAAAACATCAGAATCACAGTTCCAGTTCGAAGCGGAATCATCGGTTTAAATTTATATCGCGATAAAGCAAAAAAAGCAAAGAATCGAGCACAAAAGGCTGTTCAATTTGAGTGCACTAAAAGGGGGGTGGTCTGCATTGGGCGAAGGGGGCCGAAAAGGGGGCTAAAACGGGTGCTGGGCTTGGTGGCAGGACCTCCCATCGCTAACTTGATTATCAAGCGTTGCAACAAATTTGACGTTGCCTGCTTTTAGGGGCATCCAATATGGCTGCCGGGCAAGCTCAATCTCACCAACACAGCTATGCAATACACTGAGGAAAGTCGAAATCTTAAATTGAATTATATAATTAAAAAGCAACATAAATTGCTCTCAGTTTCTTAGACTCAAATTAAAATATGTATAATATTCTTTGTTACTTAAATAAATATTGCACACACATATATTTAAGTTTTGATTTGAGTCACTATTTTTTTCTAGTGCACCACCCTCTTTTGCCACCAATTTGGAATCCCTGGCTCAGCCTCGACACAAAGTAAAAGGCAAATGCAATTTTCAACACAAACAAAAATTTATGGCTCGGCAGCATCCTTGGTCCATCCAGCAGTCAGTATGCTGCAGGATGCAGAAGTTGCAATAAAAGAAGGCCCCGCGTTTTCGGGAGGGCGTGAAAAAGCGGTTAAAAAGGCGAAAGGTGCAAAATATGAATGTAAATATTAAAAAAGTTTCGAGGCGCACAAACTAACGAGGTGTTCGCTCATTTGCCGTGGCTCCGAAACCGCCACAAACTCGGATCTCCAACCATGCCCCGCCCCACCCTTTAAGTCAGCTCCTGCGTCCCGACCTAGCTACCGCCCACCGACCTCCACCCACTTGCCGCATCGGCATGCGCTGTAATTTAATTCCAGTGTGAAATTGAGCGCTCTCCTAATAGTGAATTTGCACTAAACCAGTTAGCAAGTCGCCGGTGCAATGTCTTGCGAACTTCTGACGAGGTGTCAATGCGATGCCACGGGAACTGGGAGCTGGAAAACTCTGTGATGGGAGCTCGGTTCCGGGTTCCGCCTCCCAACTCCGCCGGAGTTGAGGGTGGCGACATTCAAAAAGCGGAAATGTGATTTACTTATTAAATTAGAATTTCAGAGTGTTGCAGTGAGGGATGTTTGCTTGGCGTGGGATGCACTCGAGCTTGCAGCAGGCGAAACTTGCCACGGGGTTTGAGTGTCGTTAAGGGACGAAGGGTATGGGGAATCAATCTGCTTTTCTGCTAAGTGGATTAACCTACGGTTATTAAATTTAATTGTTTTCCCAGCCCATTGTGCTAACATCATTGTTGTTTTCTTTGCGTGGGAACAACGATTTTTTATTGAGTTATCTATGGTTCTTACATATGTTAATTGATTTTCAAAATTTTCATATCAGGACCAAAATCTATGTACTTTTATTGACTTACTTTACAACTAAATGCTATTAAATTTGAACTAAACAACTGCACATGTCAGCATTTCCTTTTGCATATGTATGCTTCCTTTTTGTTTTTGTTTAATTTAAAGTCAAATAAATAGTCGTAAAATTGTACAACGAAATAACATAATTTGCATCCAAAAAAGTCACACAAATATATTTAGTTTACAAAGGGTTTTTTTTATCTTTGAAAATATGTAAATGCAAGAATTTAATGTAGATGCATAGAGAAATAAGCAATAACATCAAGGGGCTTACAGGCATTAAACAACTTTTTAGGAAGTTGTGTGTCTTTAAAGTCAAAAATTTACTTGCTACATATAATATATTTTTTCATACCACACACGTATTAATCTCTTCC